AGCCCTGTTTGCCTTTTTATTAGAATGGCGGTTTGGGCCACATGAACATCCCACTGTTGTCAGATTTCACTAAGCAGATTTCCCGAGACTACGGTGTGCTGTTAGAAGGTCCTGGTCTTGCACTAAGGTAAGATCCAGTTCCTTATGAATTTAAAATTGTTTTTCATGTTTAGCATCATCCCACTTCTTAGGGAATTTATAGAGACCTTGGTAAAGCATTTGGAAAACCAAAATTCCTTAATTTTAGCTTTTTACTAAGCACCAATGAATGCCTCCTTCAAGGGTTGGCAATCTTTCAGAAAGAGCCCAGACATGTTTGTCCCCCCTCTTCCTTTACCCCTCCCCCGGCACCACCATGTCTCTCTTTCTGAAGAAGGATATCGTGTCTTGATGCTCATACTGCCCCTCTGTTTCTGAGACCTGCTTTCATGGGGGCACGTTCCTGGCATCTTTGGAGAAGGGGAACTAGCAGGGCAGAAGTCAGTATCCTGGAATGGGGGAGATCTCAAAAAGCCCTGGAATCAAAAACAGCCGGAGTATGTGTGTGTCCGTCCGTCTGTCCATTCAGGCTCAGCTCCTAAATAGCCGTGTGACTTAGGGCAAGTTACGTAACCTCCTTGAGTCCCAGCTTTTCCATAACTAAAATGATAATGTACCTCCCAGGTTGGTTGTGAAGACTAAGCAAGATGAGGCAGCTAAAGTGGTTAGCACGGGTCCTGGTAGCTGGCATGACCCGTCTCAGAATGTCATTTCCGTCCTCGTTGATTCTGTGGTTACACCTTTTTTCCTTTCAGTGTGAAAGCTTTCTGCCTTTAACAGTCCCACATTCTGGGAGAGATGAGAACGTACCTTAGAACTGGCATCTTGATGGCCGCTGAGTGAAGGAGGGGTGGGTGGTTCTTTACCTCCAGGAAGCACTTTTATAGGGGGAATAGATGGTGATGGAAGGAAACTTGACTTGGGGTGGTGAACACTCAGTTCAATATGTGGATGATGTATTATTGAATTGTACACCTGAGGCCTATATAATATTATTACCCAATGCCACCCCAATAAATTCAATTAAAAAACTATTCTAAAGTAAAAAATATATATATATGATGTTTCAAGTGGGTTCTTCCTTTAGATTTCTGCTCTGCATAGACTTAATTCTTCCTGCAAAGATTTTCCCATGGGATTTTTCCCCCATGTACCCAAGAATTCACTCATTTCATAAGTATTTACTGACTATAGATAAAATACATGTGCATCCCTTCCCGTTTGCTTATGGTTTCTTGCCAAGAGTTGATACAGCCGCCCAAAGAATGCTTGCTAAGCCACTGATAAGGAGAGAAGTCTCTGCTCTCTGACTTTTAGACCCCGCGCGACATTGAGGTCCCATTTGTAAACTTGACCATACTGCCTGCTTTCCTTGGTGGCCTGGTCCAGCCTGCCTAACACTGACAACTTTGTTTTAAGCATATGATAGCACTTAATAAGTGCTTTCTTACGGGGAATTAAAGCCAGAAGAGGGTAGAAGTTAGATTCTTTCTACTCCTGGTGCTGTGGATGCACTAATGAGGACAATTCTGATGCAGAGGTCTCTTCATCATTGACCCCAATGGAGTCATCAAGCATCTGAGTGTCAATGATCTCCCGGTGGGCCGAAGCGTGGAAGAGACCCTCCGCCTGGTGAAAGCATTCCAGTTTGTGGAAGTCCATGGAGAAGTCTGCCCAGCAAATTGGACCCCAGATTCTCCTACGGTAGGTTTCCTTTTCAAAAGCCCTGGGGCCCCGAGAGAGGATCCCAGGTACTCACTGCCCCAAGGCTACTAGCCTGGAGTATTCACAAAAGGAGCCCACACTTGGAGCCAGGCACAGATGCTGCTGCTGAGAGGTGGGACCAGGGGTTAGGCAAGCTGTTAATGTAACTTTCATCCATGTATTTTAAAGGAAACAGGCCAGCATTGGAAAAAGTTAAAGAATTTTAGGGTAGCCTGGCTGATATGGCTCAGTGGTTGAGCATCAACCTATGAACCAGGAGATCATGGTTTGATTTCTGAGTTGCTGGCTTAATCCCCAGTAGGGTGTGTGCAGGAGGCAGCCACTCAATGATTCTCATTCATGTTTCTCTCCCTTCCTCTCTGAATCAATTTTTTTTTAAATTATTTTTTAAGAAACTAAAAATTGAGAATTTTCAACTCACTTTTGAAACTACTATCTTAAAGTCAGCTAATTAAATGTTTGTATTTTCAGATCAAGCCGCATCCAACTGCTTCCAAAGAATACTTTGAGAAGGTAAATCAGTAGACCATCTCACGTACACCTGCAGCTTCTCAATAGAACCACAGTTGGAGCTCATTTTTAGCATTTCAAAGATGATTATGTGTAGAAAGCAAAAATCAATTATGTTTGCATTCATAAGTAATACTCTATAAATGTTTTGTTTTTGTAACATTGGCTAAGGCTTTTTAAACATGGTTAGTTACTAACATGAGTCCTTTATTGGTAACTTCTTGATGGCTAGCTAGTTTATAGACTGCCTCGTTCACCTGTTTTTGATCATGTCTTCAATAAGAAACTCTCTTCTTAGCCTTACCTGAACCTGTGTACACCAGTGTAGGACAAGTAGCGAAAGCCTCTGATCAAGAGTCCTGAAATTTTCTTTCTGAATTTCTTTGTATTAAACTGAATTTTTTTTAAGGTAACAAGATCATAGCTTTAAGTTTTAGTATTAGCAGTCTAATATAACTCTTGGAGTGGAGATATATTTGATTGAAACAATGTGAATCATGTATTTAAAAAAAACAGTGGCAAAGTGACCTAACTGATCATGCATGCTCCTCATCCCTGAGATTTGTAGTTTCAATAGTTATTTTGTTTATTTTATTTGTTAGCTGACTTAGTGTCTGCATACATTTCTAAATATTGAATCAAGGTAATTATAGGGGATATTTATTTAATCCAGGAATTGCATTTTGAAATCATTATAATTATATTTTCTGAAGCACTCAATGTAAAACATAATAAAAAAATAAATATATTTTAAAATATTTGCATTTTTATCGCCGTTCCCTGTTGGTCCAGCTGTTGTGGCCTCTAGTGTTCCTCCGACTATGCCAATAGACATTTGTTGAGCATTTAACTTCACTCGGGGCCCACAGAGATGAATGAGACGATGGCTCCATGCCCAAGGAGCTCAGTTTATGGGGCAAGAGAGAAATGGAAGCATCTGTTCATTATTTCATTAAGCTCTTGAGTGCCTGCCATATGCCAGGTGCTTTTTTGGAGGCACAAGAGTGAACAAAAAAAAGACAAACCTTTTCCTTCATGCACCTCCATTCTAGAGGGGAAAATACGATAAACATAATAAAAATACATAGACTGGAAGGAAAATAAAGTGGAGCGGAGGCTAGAGCGAGTTGCAGGTGTTCTAGATAGGGTTGTCGGGGAAGGTCTTGGGGAGAGACGGTCTCTCCAGGTATGCTTGCTCATCTGTTACATGAGGGCAATCATTGTACCTATCTAAGGGTTTTGATGAGGATCAAAAGAAATAACATGTATAAAGTGAGTTAGGGAGACAAGAGGTTCTAGGCAAAGGCCCCAAGGGAAGAGCGTTTTTGTGGGAATGAAGACTTGAAGGGCCCTGTGACCTCAGGAGCAGTGAAGGAGGAGAATGCTCATGAGCCCAGGGTGCCTCAGGGGCACACTAAGGGCTTGGGTTCTATTCCCAGATGGGAAATATCAGGAAGGTTTTGAGAAGAGTTACATCAGCTTGTTCTAAAACGATTACTAGCACCTTTGTTAAGGCTACACGGCAAGGGTCCAAAGAGGGGAGCAGAGAGGTCAGCTGGGCTGGATTGGTGACACTTGGGTTGTAGGGCCAACAGAATAATACAGGTGTGCTAAAGACTGTGGTACAATAAATGTATTCCTGGGTCATAGGGGGGCACTTTACCCAGCTGTGGGCATCAGGGAAGGCTTCCTGGAAGAGGAGGTGAACTTTTGAAGATTATTGAAAGGTAAACCAGATGGGCTGAGCAAAAGGAGCTGCAAAGGCACATGGGCCTGAAGGAAACCCTGACCTGGTTTCATGTTCCGGGGGGGAAGGCAAGGGAACAAATAGGTCGGTGGGGTGTTAATGGCCCAAACTGAGCACTTCCAAAGGACCTGCGCCCTATTAGGGCTTCTACCACTTTATTGATCCTCAACCAAACCCTGAGTCGGTACAATTAAGTGACCTTATTGTACAGATTCATAATAGACTGGAGAGATTGACTTGACTAGGGCCACACCAGCCAGGACTCCTGAGGACCCCTGAGCACCCTAAACATCCACACTAGCTTCTACCAACACACAACCCCTGCCCATCCCACTGGGCGAAGCGTCAGGGACGGCAGGAAGAAGGAAGATGTATTTGTTTCTCTACCAGTTGCCGCTACTTGATCAGGTTTTGCCCCAGAGCTGGAGAAAAAACTATACTCAGCTGGGTTGCATGCCCTGATGTAGACCTTTTTCAGTCTTTTTGAAATGAGGAGTCCACATTTTCAGTTTCCACTGCGCCACCAACCTCACATAGCGGTTTTGATTATCCCCAGCCCCCGTACACTGGCTGTAAGGGGCAGCAGAGGGGATTTTCGAGGGTCGAGTCCAAAGCTTAGGCGGGGGCTGTGATACGGGGCTTCTATGCACCCAAGGGATGGCCATGCAGGGTGGAGAGGACTCTGTGGGAGAGGGGCTCACAGGAATTGTGGGTGCGCCGGGACTGGGACAGGGGGTGTAAGTGTGGGATCTGGGGGCGTTAGAAGGCGGTGACACCGAGCAGCAGGCGCGTCGAGCGCCAGGAGCCGGGACAGCGGGTGACACCGAGCAGCGGGGACGAGCAGCCGGACCGGATAGCGGAAACGGGGCGCCGGGCGCCGGCACGTGGAGACACGGAGCACCGGCGCGCGGGCCGGGGATTGGCACTGGGTGCGCGCACGCCCGGGCGGGCACGCCACCGGCTCCTCCTCCTTGCCGGCCCGGCGGCCGCGGCCTCTCCGGCCATCACGTTGTTCCCCGGAAGACACGCAGGAGGAGGAGGAAGCGCGGGGGCGTGCGGGTCCGCGTGTGCAGCGGGGGCCGCCCGCATGGAGCCCAACGTGCACTTCTGGATGACCCAACGCCAAGTACGCCGGGCGCGGCGGGGGCGGGGCGGGCGCGGCGCGGGGAGTCGCCGGCTGGCCCCGGTGACCTTGGGCAGGCCACGTGGTTGCACGACCCCTCCCCACCGCATTCTCCGGAGGGTCCCAAGGGGAACCCCAGCTGTTACCCCGTGTCACCTCTGCCCCAGGCCGGGCGAGGGAGGGTCGCCCTGCAGAGGAGTCAGTCCCCTCGCAGGTGTCCGCGCTCTGCTGCCCGAGTTGTCGCTGAGCTTGGGGTGGCCTCAGGGTGGACAGGAACAGGGCCTCCCGGGAGTCCCCTGCCTCCAACCTCCATAGGCTCGGCCACTCACCGAGACCGGGCCGCCGGGGACGGGTCACACAGGCCCCGCCTCCAGCTAGTGGCCGGGGCTGCGCTGTCCAATAGCCATGTGACGGGAGTCATTCGGTAATTTAAAGTTTTCTAGTAGCCAGATTACCGAAGGCAAAAAGAAACATCCGAAATTAATTTGAGTAATATATTGTCTTTATCCCAGTAGATACAAAACATTAACATTTCAACGTGTGATCTATATGAAAATTATTAGTGAGATATTTTACTTTTTTTTTTTTTAATCCTCACCCGAGGATATGTTTTATTGATTTTCAGAGAGAGAGGAAGAGAGAAATATCTGTGGGTCGCCTCTGGGAGGGTCCTGACTGGGAGTTGAACCTACAGCCTAAGTACGTGCCCAGACCAGGAATCGAGCCTGCAACCATTTGGTCTACAGGACAACACAACCCAACCAAGCCACCTTGCCAGGGTTACATCTTTTTTTTTTTTTTTGGTCTTGGAAACCCGGTGTATAAATTACATATAAATTACATCTTGATTTTGCCTGGCCACCTATCCAGGGCTCCATGGCCGCATGTGGCTAATTGGACAGCACCGTTCTAGGATGTTCTCTTTCAGCCATCACCTGAAGTAGGGCCCAGGCCAGATTTTTTGGGCGGGGAAGTAGAGAAGGGGCAGAGCCAGGACTCAAACCCTGTGAAGTCCGGGGGCTTTTTGAAGCAAACCATACCTCCTTTCTCCACGTGTCCTCTGTTTAATTCCTCAAGAGCAGTTTGATACTGGAGTGGTTCAGAGCACAGATTGCTGAGTCTGTGCCCGGCTGGGTTCCCTTGAGTCCATTGAGCCAATTCTCAGCCTCAGTTTTCTCACCTGTAGGATGGGGATTCTGGGAGATGCTGCAGGTAGACAACCCCATTAGGTGGTCAGAAATAATGTTAACCATTAACATATCTTCGTTGTTCTGCTGTTAACTTCTCGGGTGCTTTTCCCCCTTCTTAAGTCTTTTTTTCAGAGATGTCTTCAGTGGACAGAATTATTGGATCCTACAAATTTGTTCATTTCAATTGTAAGTGTTCTTCTTGCTTTCGGCGCTAATGGATTTTACATTTTATTCTGAAACAGGAAGACTGTGTCCCTTTGGAAAGCAGGTGAAATAACAATCCACATAGATCCCCGTGCTCTTACTCCTTTGGATGAGCTTGGTAGATTGGAAGGGTAATAAGTAAAAGTGGGCGTCCAATTAACACAGTGGTTCTCAACCTGTGGGTCGCGACCCCTTTGGCGGTCGAACAACCCTTTCACAGGGGTCGCCTAAGACCATCCTGCAGATCAGATATTTACATTACGATTCATAACAGTAGCAACATTACAGTTATGAAGTAGCAACGAAAATAATTTTATGGTTGGGTCACAACATGAGGAACTGTATTTAAAGGGCCAGAATGTTGAGAACCACTGAATTAACACGCGTACCAAGCCCCGGGCCAGGTGCTGGAGGTTCAGAGGGGATCAGACGAACCTTGCAGGGGATGGAGGACAGACTGGCAATGCTAGTCACAGGCCTTGACCTAGGGATCCGGGGGTGGGGGGGGCGTGTCACAGGGAATTGGGGGAGGGTGTTGAAGGAAGGCTGAGAAGGAGAGGGGACTGTGAGCAAAGATCAAGGGAGGAGAGCAGGCCACCCAGTCACCAGGGCTTTGTATGCAGGGGATCCAGGCAGTTCTTAAAGGACCTTGTGTGTCACTCACAGGGTGGCCTTGCTTCCAAGCGAAAGATGGTTTGAACCAGGTGTGGCTGAGGGAGGTAGGAGAGAGATCCTGTCACCAGCAATGACCCTTAAGGGCCAGACTCAACGGGACACTCTCATCCCTGTGCTCAGGATGCTCCCGTCAGCCTCATTTATAACAGGAAACAACCTGAATGTCCATCGGCAGAGAAATATGATGTGGTATATTCATACAGTGGGATATTGATTAGCTGTTCAAAGCAATGACCTAGTTACCAGCATATATTAAGTAGAAACATAGAATATGTGTGATGTTAAATGGGAAGACATGGTGTCTGTGATGTTTTATTGTAAAAGCAAGATGCATAAATACAGTATTTATGTAAATTACAAAAAGCACACTAATACTACGTATTTGTTTATGGGTACATGCATTCTTGTGTGTATACGTATAATAGCTGGACTGGAAAATTTATACCTTCGGACTGGAATATAGGTTACCAAAGATGGAATGGGGAGCAAAATATTTACCGAATGATCGTAGTATCCGCACGAAAAAATGGGGCAGAACGGGGTGGGAGGGGAAAACAAAGGAAACCACGCAACCACCCCCCCCCCCCCGTACCGTCTCCTACCCCCCCCCCCCCCCCCCGCCGCGCTATCGTCATTTACATATTTTTTTTTTTTTTTTTTCATCTCATTCCCTCTACTTCTCTTTTCTTATTTTTTGTTTTGGATTACCCCTCTCCCATTCCCCCCCTCTTTTCTCTTTTTTTTTTTTTATCTTTTTCCTTTCTTCTCTTCTTTTTCTTTCAGTGGCCACCGTCCTTCTGTACCCCACGCTCACCCTTTTTTTCTCTTCATTTTTCTCTTTTTTCAAAGAAAAAAATCTAACGAAATTAGTCG